CCCTTGTCTGCAGGAAGAATCAATATGTCTTGATTGGTAGCCAAATCTTTGAGAGCGGTACGTTCTTCCCGTGTGATGTTACTAGCAGGGGGTTTGGAGACTTTCAGGGTGGTAGCTACTTTGGTGCGCAAGGCTTCAGCTTGTCTCTGTGGTAAACGTGCCCGACGAATTGCTGACTCGGTTTCTGTCACAATGTCAATGCTGGGAATCTTGTTGGGTGCTACTGCAAAATTTAGACCTTTAGAAAGCAGTGATTTCTCTGGTTCTGTGAGAGTATGGCTACTTAGGTTTTTTACCCACCTCTCGTCGGTTTTGGCCTGTGTAGTGGTTTTGGGTTCGGAACTGTTTGATCTCCAATTTGGGTCACTATCTGCTGCGCTAATAGTCTTCTTTTGCTGTAAACGATCAAATTTGGTCTTCTGTCTGTCTTTTCCCTTCTCGTGCTGATCAAGTTGTCCCCGTGTTATGAACTCTTTAGTTTCGGCAAAAATCTCGTCTGATAGTTTCTCCCTCAGTAGTTTTTCAAGGTTAGATTTCCTCGCGTTTAGACCGTCTAATTTGTAGTTGATCTGTCTTACCCTTTCGTTTAGTAACTTTCTTTCCGCGTTGAAGATGATCTTGTTGGCGTTGAAGCCTCTGATGGAAGTTTTTAGGCGTAGGCTGGTGGGTGTGATACTTACCTTGAGGCAGCGTAGACTGAAGCGTAGATGATTCCGGAAATCTGCAATCTTCCTGCTGGTCTTCTCCAGATCCCTCACAGAGCTCAGGCAAAACTTACCGTAATGATCCAAGATACCCAAGACTTTTGTTCCTTTTTCGACTTCCAAAAATTTGTCTTCACCTTATTTGCATATCAATGAACAGGTTGTGTATAAAAACCTGCTTTCCCCTCTGGTCTCTCAGTCACTGACGAAAGCTAGTGGATACTAGCTGAAACGTCTGACGTTTTCAAAATCATATCCAGTTGCTTGAGTAACTGTTTTTTGGCATATACATGTAAGTAATTTGACCGTACAATCTCTAGATTTAATCTTACTTGCAGCATCAGCTTGTGTGACAAAAGCCTCCCGATGGTCTTCTCTTCGCCGTCCTTTGTTTCCTAATCTATCGTGGTCCGTCCTTTGGGAATCAAACTCATCGCTATTTCGGAGATGTTCAAAGTCTTTCCGCCTTTGTGAACGTGACCCCCTTCCTGGCGGAGGGTCAGAGAAGACCTGCGAGCGGTCAAGCGGATTGTCCGAAGCAGTGGATCTGGACGTGGCCGGTTCCGAGTACCGATGACCAATGGCAGGGAGGGCGCGTGGAGACTGATGAACTAGGCTTCCCTCGATTACGTAGATTTCTGGTACCACAGCCTATGTAACAAAATAAATACTCATTTAGAGTTTAAAACTTTAGATGATTCTCTTATCTAGAACTTTTGACCAGTCACTCTGGTCTTCCTCAGTAGACTGACCCAGTGAAGCTTGTCATGTGGTTTCTTTGAAGTGTGACGTCAACACTGGGTCAAAAGTATCTGGTAGACAATGTCAGCCCCTGTCGCGGTTCAGTGAAGGACCTTGATGTACAAATGTATATAGCCTCCTTAATCCCTTAGAAAATAGTCTTGTTCAGTGTCCAAAATCACTGGGTCAGTCTACTGAGGAAGACCAGAGTGACTGCTCGAAAGCTCTAGGTAACTTTTTGTATTGGATATAAAGTTTAAACTCTAAACATGTAACTACCAACACAGATGAACTTTCATGATAAGATAAATACTCAGTAACCCAGATTGGCAAGATATACAAAATATACAAGATGATCTTAACAGGCAAAGTTCTTCCTACAACAGGTGGTTCATAGGGCTGCACCAAATCACCATTTCAATAGCCCTTGGGCCACACAGTAGCACAATCACTATATACAGTTGGAGACTAGTCCACTGGTAGTGGTGTGTGTTAACTATATCATACTCTTTCACAAATGAATACTTTATTACATATTCAAGACTCGTGTTTTTAAAAGACATTTTGGAGGAGTGCTCAAGAACTATTAAGAGGGTTGGCATTCCTGTTCACTGTCAGCACTCAAAGAAATAGAACCATTGGAAAGACAAAAATAATTATTTTATCAAATGAACGTACCGTACATTGATAATGCATATCGGTAATTATGCTTATACAGAAAGGGACATGTTGTGTGCACTGCATGCCCATAGCCAGGGGGGGTTCGGGGGTTCGGAAGAACCCCCTCCACAAGGCTCAAAGGTCCACTTTTTGGTCCACTTTTTATGTAAAGGTCCACTTATTAGTCCACTTTTTATGTAAAGGTCCAAGATTTTTCTTGAAAAGATGGACTGGAATCGTAGAAAAAATGCTACCTTTGTCATTGGACTGAAATCGTAGAAACACTGCTCCCTTTGTCATTGAAAAAAAATTATCTCTGATTTTTTCTTGGAAATCCTCTCAAAAATGCACGAAATGCCATGTTAGAAGGTTCGTTTTCCAAAATTTTCTGGGGGAGCATGCCCCCGGACCCCACTAGGAACCTCGCGCCTATGGCGCTCGAGGTCCCCTCAAGCAGTGGGAAGAACACCCCCCATTCAAAATCCTCGCTACGGGCATGCACTGTGTCTGCACTAAGCACTTTGTCTCCAAAAAACACTTCAACACATGAAGTACTAAAACTCCAGATTGGTTGTACAGCTGTGTTAAACATGTTTGCTCATTGGTAAGTATACCCACACTAGCCCCAGTCATAGGAACTTTCCCCTCAAATTCAGCCGGGATTTGAAAGCATTAGAAGCATTGCTGTGAATGCCAATTGCTCTGAGTAGGAGGGCTGTATGGTGCTCAATTTGTTTGCTTTCCTTCTTGGTAGAAAAAAAAGGAGGGTTTGTACAGAAAGAATAAGAGTCTGGCAAACACTTCAACATTCTCTTGAGACTAAGTCAAGAATACCTGGTGTCCTTTACTAAATTTACGTTCCATTTTTTTTTTAAATTCTCAGACAATTTTTTAAATGTTTTTTATACTCCATTTCTACCTCGGTAAAATTAGCTCTAGCCTATACTACCATGAATGGCAAAAGGAAAAACTAAATGGAAACTTGAAAATAAAACTTAAGGATTCTTAAAGCTAAATAGGTTCAAAGTAGCTATACCCAGTGTAACAGATCAGAACATACCCCTAGTCAGAATCTACCCCTATAGATACAAATGTATATTCTGGCCAGGGGTAGATTGTGGCCTGCTACACCCAGACAAAATGCACAGGTGACCTACTTCACTTTTGCACCTGTTGTCTGAGAGGAAACTTTAGCGCTGTGTGCACTGGACTGGAAATACATGTTGACTTCTATGCTCAAATTTGCTTCTCAGACAAATGCCTGAGAAGACTAAATGAAAGAGACTGTCAGGAGTTCTGACAGGTTTTCTAAGCACTGTTGGAGGATATTAACAAGCTGTTGCATATAACAAGGATCCAATATACTTTATATAACCTATTAGACATCTGCATTTTAAACCATGACAGTGTTTTTACTTTAAGTATGAAATTTAAAATGCCGTGCCTTCACTAAGTGTTCATGGAAGTTGAATTTAAAGAGAACTTTTTTTCAAGAAGATATACAGAAAAATTAAACACTTACCAAAGGAGGCACGAAGTTCTTGACTTTCAATTGGAATTCTTGTCTGCCTTTGACCTGAAAACAACAAAACATAATTATATTATAATAATTATATTAATTTTTATTGTATAATTTAAATATCAACACATACATGTATACCAACAAATGTTAACTTACATGGTTATAGCACTAATGTTGGACAGATTTTTTTGTACTGTGTATAAGTGTCTGTCTACTAAACAGTAAAAGATTTACTGAAAACATTTACTAAACATTCACACTTTATGCAAATTCCAAGTAAATAATCAGTAATTGAGTCATGAAGAAACAGTAAATGCCCAGTTAATATTAACTGGTGAAACAGTAAATGCAGTGGCTGAACAGTAAATGAGAAAGTTGACAAAACAGTAAATGATGGTCTTGACAGTAGATCCTACAGTAAATAACTACTGTCAAAGATGTCTGTTAGAACTGGTTAGAACTGGTTCTGAGTCAAGCACATGGTTGTTTTTGGAAAACAGCACTCCAGGAATATCTCATCTTTTCATTGCCATACCAACCAACTAAGACTTATTAAGTTATCAATTCTTGCTGCATGGTGTCATGGAATAGTACTGAAAGTAGAAACACCATAGTTTCAAGATATTAACCTGGGAATGTCTATTGTTTGGCATAAACTGGGGAATATGTGGTAACTTCCCCTAGTATCCAACCTTACTCTCATGGATAGAAATGTTGGGTGAATTCTATATGACCTTAGTTACCTTGATCCCCAAGCAAGTACCTCCTATAGTCTGATAATGAATAATAGTTGCCCTCCTTACCTTCAGTATTCTTTCTGACCTGCTCACTGGCTGCCCCCCTCCCCACCCACCTCCTGAGTATTCATTTTGACCTTGCCCCCCTCCCTACAATGTACCTATGAGTTCTTTCTGACCTTGCCACCTCCCCACCTACCTCCAGTATTTTTTCTGACCTTGCCCCCTTCCTTACATACCTGAGAAAAGGCTGAAAAATGCATCCCTCCCCACCTCCTGTCCATGTGGCCACTGAGACACTGTGAGCTAAGAATTGTGGGGCTGCCCCAAATATAATCAGAATTGCAAATCGCAAGACTGTGATTGGTTAAATATCCCAGTAAATGTCCAGTAATAGACAGTAAATGGACAGTAATGGTCTGATTGGCCAAACAAGACATTGGTTAAAACACCAACAGTAAATAAAGGCATCAGTACTTACCAGTAATGCTTCAGTAAAACAGTAAAAGACGATTTACTGGAGATTTACTGAAATTGTACTGTTAGTAGTAGATCAGTACTTAACAGTAAATTTCCAGTACTGATGGTTTGCCAAGGGTCATCCTATTCCTTAGGCTAATGTTTATTGTTAGTGTAATAACTGTATAAAACAAATTCTCCCCCAGGTGGCCATCTGTGCAGGTTGTAACAACGTGTACCCCTGGGCAGCCTGTATCATTGGTGTGGTGGCAGGCGTGGCGTACTGTGGATGGAGTCAGCTGATCCTCAAGGTGCTAAAGGTCGATGACCCCCTTGATGCCGTGGCTGGTGAGATGCCTGAACTTGAACGAATTTGAATGTTCTTGAAAACAATTCATTTAATTTACTGCTTCCCCCTGAAATTTCATTCATTGGTTATGGTTATACTTTACAAGTAGTCTATTTTGTAAAGTCCTTCAATGAAAATAATTAAATCTACAGAAAACCTGTCCATGTTTATACTCAGGCGCAACTGTAGGAAAATGCTTATTTTATTATAATAAACAGTTTAAGAAATAAAGGTGTTAGTACAAAAAAGATACCTTAAGGTAATTGTGAAAATCATAACATATAGGATCACCAAAGAGAACTCACACTGGGCAGTTACTTTTTATGCCAAGGTGATCATTAATTAATTAGTACATGTAGTAACACACTGTCAGGTTTAATTTGATGGGAATACTATTGATGGAATTATGGCATGCCTTTTTCAAGCAGTTGAGCCGGTCTTAGCACCTTCAAAGTAAATGAATACATGCAAATAAGATGTATTTAATGAGTCCATTGGTTATGTCATTATGACACCTCTTCATGTCTCTGTTACAGTTCACTTTGGAGGAGGGTTCTGGGGAGTGATTGCAGTTCCCATCTTTGCCACTGAGGGCGGCATCATCACATCTGGAGGCTCCATCATTGCTTTCAAGGCAGGTTACCATTACCTTATGGCAATAGTACATGTATACAAATGCATATCATAGCTTTTATCCCACTTACCAGTGTGCATGTTTCACAAAACAATACAGTGATTTTCACTTTGAGGAAAAAAATCTTGTGACGTTGCACTACTACTACTCTATTATAAGTTACTCAATGGAAGTTTTATAAAGGACATTTGCAGATACTAGGATACAGAACGAAAATTGCTGTTTGTTTACATTCTTTTTAGGATGACAATGAGAAAGAAAGAAAGATGAGAAAGTTTCAGTTCAGTTCAGGTCATCCTCTTTTGAGGTGCCATTCACAATGTCTCTCCACGTGACTCTGTCGCGCATGGTGGACAGAAGTTCCTCATCCCGTAGGCTGACCTCCTCCTCGATCGAGAAAGTTTCAATTATTTATATTAACACAGTTTTAGCATAACAATATTAGTATACATAATATCACTTTGAAATCTACCCATCATACTTACGTAAAAGATGTTTTTCGCCCCCAGGGTTTGGGATGGAACATCCTGGGTGGTGTAGTGATCGCGGTGTGGACAGCCATCATCACTACCACCATGTTTGGGTTCCTCCGCCTGGCCGGCGTACTCAGGGTCGACCCAGAGATCGAGGAGAAAGGTACGTCAGCAACAAATCTGTGACCTGTGAGATTAAAGACTACAAGTGTCATTTCAACATCAATCTGTACATGTATGAGCTTAATTAGGCCTCAAAATCAACTTTTCTTCCTATTGTCCAAGCACTGTGACAGTCCCAAAAAATAAATTTCAATTGTCCCGAAGTGAGGATGAACTTCAACTTGAAGTCAACTTTATTTTGCTTCTGTTCACTCCCAGGCGCACTATAATTGCAGAGTAGACAGGAAATTTGGGGGGACTTGTCCGGATCCAAAAGCCGCGACGTGTGCCTGCGATATGATCAAAAGAAGGGCTGACATTCAGATGTCCTTTTAAAAAGTCTGAAAATGTCCTTTTATTTCCTGCAGGCCTGGACATCCCCAAGCATGGTGAGCCAGCCTATCCCCAGGAGAGTTACGGACACGGCTGGCTACTGGAGACAGCAGAGGACAAGTTACCCAAGTGTAGGGCTCAGAAGAGCATAATCGAGTCCCCTCCTGGTGAGTGATATACATGTATACTACAGTTAGAGAGACATTAGACCACACTGACCTTATATATATAAAATTATACGTATAGTATGGATGACCCCCAAACTAGTGCATGCAGGCGAAAAAAAAATTCCAGCCCCCCAAAAATGCTGCTGAACTATATTAATACAAAGTATTGTAAATTTGCAGAAGAACATAGTACTATGACACTTTTACGACAGGCATATGTTGGCCTTTTGTGGCATTTATGAGTCGACACCGTACTGAGTTCTTGAGTTCTCGGTAGCCTGGGTGCCGTCCTCTAGTTATCACGCATTGTCACTAGCTACCATGGACTAGGTAGGATGGCAACCTTAGACCTTAAAGAAGGTAATTTTTATTTGTTGAGAACAGGTGAAATCAATGCACATGCAGATGTCATCCATAAATTTAAATCAGTGTGGCCTTAACACCTAGGGTTCAAAGTAATCGCTCTTGCCGCTCAAGTCATGGTTTTTGTATGAGTTTTCATGAAGACCCCAGTTTGCCCTGCATGAAAATTATGGCGAATGGCATCTTGAACCTTGAACGTGGACATCAGCGATGTTGTCACGGGAAACAATGGATTCTTCTTCTCCACTCATCTCTGTCCTCCATCAGTGAGCGGAGTTCTGCAGTGGAGATGTCCCTGAGTCCAGCATCAGGGCATATCACGGCATATTACTTGATATATTTACCCTGAACACTTATACCCGGCCCAGTAGTATATGACAGATGCCATTTTTGTACTATAATGGTGAATATAATAACAATTGTTGCTATCCACAGACTACAATGGAGACACCTCCAACATACTGGCCATGACCCACCCTGCATCCATGGTGATACCACGCCCCTCCGTGGTGACAGGACCTCCTATGGCAGAGCTCGCTTTCGACAACGAGGGATACCAGGAACCGCGGGATACCAGACTGTGAACGGACATCAGCAATTAACGTATCGAATGGTGGGGGTTGGACAAGTTTTCAAAAATCCAATTGCCCTATCAGGCAAGCTCATGTTCATTTCCACTTGCCCAAACCAACTTTTCACTTGCCCAATGCAAAATATAGATGACATAGATCAGATAATATGTATTTTTACCGCAAGGAAATTTTTTTCAGTAAAAAAGCACTTTATATTGTTCCATGGTTTGCCAGTATATCCCAAATTTGTGTAAAGTTTGAAGTTTGAGACTTGATTCTCAAACGCAAATGATTCTCTGACAGAAAGTCATACTTTTGACTGACATCAATAAGATATTATGGGAATACATTATGCATAATGCCACATCAAAAAATTTACTTGCCCAATCAGGCAAGTTCAGGTGAACATGCACTTGCCCAAACAGTGCTTTTACTTGCCCTGGGCAAGTGGGCAATGGGACTTGTCCAACCCTGACTGGTCTATTATTACTATTATTATATATGTATAGCCTGACCATGCAGTGCCATCTGATTTGTTAATGGGCTCCTACTATGCTCATATATATAGGCCAGGGAGTATACCAGTGATTACTGTTTTTGTTAAAAAGTGCATGAATTTTTTTTGTTTTTTGAATCATATCTTCAAATGATCAATAGGCAAATCACCCAACTGTCCACAGCTTTTTGCCTACCACTTGTGATGCCATGGCAATCACATGTTTGTATTTAATAGCCCTAGTAGCACATGAAGTTGGTTGACACCCAGGCTAAGAAACAGTCATCATTTGTAAATTTGGCTTAAGTTTATGGATGCATTTGACTATCTCTTCAACATGCATGGCTTGAAAGGCGTGAAAATTAGAATTTCTGCGGTGATCTGTCTAGTCAGGATTAGTTTCATGTCACATATTATTGTTCTATCAAAATTCATAATACTGTAGTACCAAAACTTTTGCATTATATGATTAAATAGCAAAATTCACAGCCACTTTTTAACAAGAGTGAAATCATGATGCTTCATCAGGACAATTATGACTGGGTCACTGTTTACTGAAGCTAGATGATACTGCTAACAAAATTGCAGTTCCAAAGGTAAAGTGGTTGTAAATAGATTAGAACTTTGCTATAATAATATTCACAGACACATATGATTAACTTTCATTATAAAAAGGTGCTAACTTATCATGTAATGGTCCTCCAGTTTTGAGGATCTTTGGCATTTCTGTACATATACCGTAATACATGATGATGCAACTGCAAATTTCTATGCAATTTAGCTGGAGTGTCTTTGGTGTACGAATATGGACCAAATGTACAGCAATTTAGTCCACGAAGAGACAGTGTTTATGTAACATTACTGATCTATTTGGTGATTATGCAATTAATGCAAAACTAATATTGATGCATGGGTGCTCTATGTAACATTCCCCAAGAGGAATGTACAAACAAAACGAAATAAGAGATTTCAAAGTTTCTGAGAATTTAGTGACACAACCAAAGAGAATTAGTATGGCATACTTCCAGCCAGCCTAGAACAAAAAAAACTTTTTGCTATGCATTTTGCCACTGGCACCTGGTCCCTTAGTGGCTTTAGCTTCTTGCAGACTCCTGGGCAGCTTAGGCTAAGAAACCTAAACTTGTATGTGACCCTTTGTTGTCTGTTTTGTAGGTGATTCCCCCACACACGCGTAATGTCACTCAACTGTATGGACACACAAAAAACGATATGTCCTTTCTGGATGGAAAAAGATGCACAAATGTCGACCAAATGCACAAGAGCCATCCAAGAAGACGTTTCTGCAGTTGTACTTGTTTCTTTCTCCCAAAATTGCTTGCTCACATATCAAAGACAAAGGGACAGCTCTTTTTTTTTTTAAATCATTGTTTCAAACAAGGACATTCAAGTACAGATCATACTCAAACTGTTCAGAAATTTGCTATTATTACTTTAATTATACTAGCCAATGCAGTGAATAAAGATCCATGTACAACTACATGTACATAATAAACCCAGTACATGTACACCAGGGACCAGTGCAGGTTAGGTCAGAAATACCTGCACAACTCCAATTTCACCTACGCTATGTGATGAAAGCTTCTTGGTTTCAAACAAGGACATTGATTTATTCTGAAAGCTTCTTGTTTCAAATGAAATTTTCAACACACAAACTTGACTGTGACATCAAAACACAGTGTGTTATACAGCAGTGTATTTCGTTTTGATTTAAATTAAGGTATTTCAGGATCATTTTGTGTTTCAGAGTCCATGACAGTTACAATGTACATTATATCAAGAGTGTTATGTTATGCACATCTGTCACTATATCATATTACTGCCTAGTAGTCCAGAATACACTTTCCAGAATTCAGAAACCATGTAATCAGTGTACTGATATAGAGATAAAAAGATACCATGTTATGTTTATCTGTTGTCACGGTGTTCATTGCCACAGAACCATGTAACACTGTGACCTTATCCCATGTGTCAATGTCAATCTATCGCCTCTTCGTTACTTAGGACACTTTCTACGTGTGATACCTGAACAGTACAAACTAAAATACATGTCTTGTACGATATCAAATACCCTCTGGGTCATCAGTAGGTGCAAGTTTTACGGACAAGTCAGTAGTGAATTTTATTAAAGTCGGTGTCAATTATAGCTAGCCTCTACCAGGCTTCGGGAGGCGGATGGAAAGAGTAGAAATTGGCCAAACAGAGAGATAACATGTCAGGGGAGTTGGTCCGCTAGAGAGTTTTGCTAACTGGAAGCAAATTTTGTGAACGAACCTACATTGTATAGCTAACAACGTCATTTACTCCTTGGCCCAGGAATTTTCAATGTTTGAGTGGCAGATTGTATGAGAAAAACGTGACGTTTTTTACGTCCGTAATTTTGACACGGAAATTTCAGAACCATACGTACGTAATGTATCCACACGTTATGTCATACGTGAACGTTCACCTAGCATACGTAACGTATTGACCAAAAAACGTTACGTATTGACCCCAAAACGTGACGTTTTTAACGTCTGAATTTCGACACAAAAATGATGCCATAGACAAACTCAAATTTCCTTCATGTATTTACTCGTCTACATTAACCTCTCTATAGCTAGATACATGGGACTCTGTCTGGCCATTTAACTTTACCCATTTGATACCTCAGTATTCCACAAACACATGGGTGATGAAGGGTGTTCAATCTATTTAAACTAACCTGATGTGTACGTGCATCGACGTTATATCAGCGCCGACTTCAAATAAAACACGAAGAAAAAGTTAAAAAGGTATGATATGGTACATAAACACATATGGTACGCAAGCAAATCAACACGTAAGGGTTAGATATAAATCTTATGTCTATGAGTGCACTTACACCTTGCTATTTATGCATGGCAGGAACGAGTTAAGTCTTTTTTTTTTTAAATTTCAACATCGAATCACAAGAGTTTTCAACTTTATTTATGCCGCCAACAACACGGGGCGCGCAATACAATATACATTTTCACTTGAGCGAAGTGAGGAAAGTCGTGTAAAGTGCCTTTCCCAAGGGCACAAGGTCGGTGGCATGTCAGAGACTCGAACCCGGGACCCCTTGATTCCGAGTCGAGCACTGCCGCGGCCACACGTACACGACCCCCATTGAATCTTTTGAATCAAGCAGGTGCGAAACGTCCACTGAATGAAGTAATGAGTTTATTATCTTACAATCAATTCTGAGGGATCAAAAATAGCATGGATTAAGTAGATGTTTTAATTTTCTTTTAAACCTCCGCCAGAAAAGGTATGGCTCGACCAAAAAGGTTAAATATCAAGCTTCTTGGTTCTACAGATGAGTTATTAAGGCAGACAAGTCGAACGTGTCACGTCCTTCGTACAATCGACCGCCAACGTCGTTAAAAAAATCAATGCGCACGTGAGTCACTCGTCTATGATTTATTCAGTAGCTTTATTGATCGAGTCGAATAATTTTCGCCCCAACGGGAACGGTTTTCAAATCGTGTACCCGAAAAAAAAAAGAACATACAGAGAAAATATGACTGCAAATTAGATATATAATCTTAAAAACGAAAAAAAAAATATGAAAGGCTAGGGGGAGAAAGAAAAAGAACGGTATTCTGTGACCTGAGCCGTGTTAGAAAATGTTTTTAATTTTCCCGCCTTATGGTAATCTCTGTCCCCTGAGGCATCCGGTTGAACCGGACCTATCTGGTTCCAGCCAGTTGTTTTAAACACAAAAGCAAACTTTCAGAAATCGTTACGTGGCGGTCAAAGGGTGGACAACTGACGCAGAAGAGCGGTATCTTCTCTTTCTAGGGGTAAACTGTATGAAGTTTACTTGACTTGGGGCCGACCAGTTGTTTGTGAGAATATATATTCTTCACCGGAGCTTGGAAGGTGTCCAAAAATCAGACAGCTGGCTTAGATATTGCGCTCGCCCCTCCACAGGACCAGGCCAGAAGTTACGACAAGGTATGGTGTTTATTTGGCTCTTAGGGCTCATTCCATTTTAGCTCTTGGTGGGTGTTTGAACATAAAGTTTCTTAATGTTTTTCATAAAGGAGTGCAGAACGGAGTAGAAGTTGTAGAACGTCGATATAGGATATGATAATTAATTAAGACATTTAATGTACATATTGGGCTATGACAAAAATATTTAAAAAATAGTCTAGTAGTTTACAGATACATATTATCATATACAATGTCAACATAATCATGAAACTACATGTATAATATACGTAATACATGATCTACATTCTACTACAAAAGGACTCCAAATTCCATATTATTAATATCAAGAAAAATGCAGTATCTACAGTGTACAAATAAATTCGTTGTTCCTGGGGAGTTATAATTCTATATGACCTTTGAGTCTTGTATATTGGCACAGCAAAGGTACAAAGTTCCCATGTGTTTTCTTTATAACAGCAATAACAATAGCACACCTGAAGAGAAGAGCATCGAGTGGGCAGTGACGTCAGATACAGTAATAGGTGATGACGAGTTTAGCATGATAATAACCTACAGAGAGAAAAGTAAGGTCATGTTGATTTGATTGAATGAATGACATCGACGTGCGAATGGATTTTCGTCCGTTCCCCGAAACAAAATTTCGATCATTATATTGTAAATCGTACAAAGCAGCTGCAAAATGAGCTGTACACTGTACATTGCAACAAAAATATTGGAAAACGATACAAATGTTGTAGAATAACAAAATCAATTCCAAATGAAAGGCACAAAATGTGAAGAAATGAAAATGAAGAGTCTATTATTCGCCATACCATTTATAATCTGTGTGTTTAGCCATGTGTTCAACCTTCATGACCACGTAGATTTCATAATGAAGGCAACCTTTTTTTTGCAATTTTTTTATTCGCATTCTCGTTTCAGTTTTGGGGTTCCTAGATGATGCCATCCATATTATCAAGTCAACGAGGCCTAAAGCAGAGTGAATGCAAGGTCCGCGTCTGTTTCTAGTTAACCCATTTAACCGGCGAATATTGAACGGCTACCAGACGACCAACAATTTTTGTAGTTTGCTAGTTCGACCCAATTTTACTTATAGAAAGCTTAATTTACGTCTTTGGTTGTCTTTTGAATCAACATTTTACACCATGTATCATATTTCACTCTATACAGTCATAGCATACAAGGTCAGTCCCAAAGCTACGGCCTCTATTGGGAATTGGGCCTTTTGAATTTTCAATATAAAGACATGTTGATTTAATCATATCGAGGATTGTTGAAGCTCCTTGATTATATGGATGACATCCTCTGAGAACCCCCAAACTGATGCGAGCCTGATCAAAAAACGTTTGACCAAAAAGAAGTTGCCTTCATTATGAAATGTACGATAAAGGTTGAACAAATGGCTTGACACACAGAGTGATGTGACGGATAATATACTCTACATTTTCATTTCTTCATAATTTCATTTCCCTTGGAATTGATTTGTAGTATTTTGGTATTCTATTGCATTATTATCGTTTCCAATAGTTTTTTGCAATTTATTTGCTCGATAAATTACATCATAAACGAACGGTATGGTCAAAATGTTTTTTCTTAATTAATAAATGTTGTATTAATGTTGTAGAATATAGTATAATGTTAGAAGTAGATATAGTCTCACATACCACTGTATTTTCTTTCTATGTTGTTTGTAACTGCAATTAGCCCTCGGGCAAGTATTTGCAATAAACTTTCTTTATTCTAAATAAAACGGACGAAAATTCCTACGCGCGCGGATGTCATCCATATAATCAAATCAACATCAACACTGCCTAAATATCGGGTACACGTCTTTGAACCACGATTATCTGTCACAGCACGACATGGACGATTTCGGTTGCCATGACGACGATGACGTCATCTTCAGCTGGCTCATTCCGGACGATGAAGACGAGATTGATGGAGGGCGTGACGGAGAAGTCAACGGGAACATCACCGGGCCATCAGGACACACACGACAGGTAAGGTCACTACTACTACTACTACTACTACTACTACTACTACTACTACTACTACTACTACTACTACTACTACTACTACAACACTACTACTACTACTACTACTACTACTACTACTACAGTAACTACTACTACTACTACTACTACTACTACTACTACAGTACTACTACTACTACTACTACTACTAGTACTACATGTACTACTACTACTAAGGTCACTACCAGCTGGAAAGGGTCTGAATACTACAATCTGGGGGATCGATTGAAGTTAAAGGCATGTAATGCAGTTTTTAGGAAACCCGATTTTACAAAGTCAATATTCTAGTCACTTATCTACACACAGAGTTGAAACCACATTGTCCCCGATGTATATTGATCACCAAATGAGCAAAAGTACCAAAACGTCCGAAAGGAAAATGGTTATATACTGGAAGGACGTCGACCCTGGGCTGATTTTTAGGATTCCACCCTTAAAATAAAGGACTCGTCTTGGGACTTGTTTCTGCAGTTTTAACGTTAGATACCCAAACTATGAGATATTGAAATGTGCTAATGTGAAGCAGTATGTTCCAGTATCATAAAGATTGCCTTATGCAGAATATAACCAGTTTTGCAGCTCTCAAATCGCACTGCATGCATTCAAGGAGGTTCAAATTCTTTTTGAACCTCCTTGAAGCATTTAGGAACACTTTTCTATTGTTTCTGGGTTGAGGGGATGAAAAGGAGGTTCTTCTTTGTTCACTTCCCGGCTAGTTAATTATGCAAGGAGATAAAAGGAATCTCATTTGTTTACATTGTATCAGAATACAATAGGAAAGTCAGTCCTTTGTTTGCAGCCTTTTGCATCTCCATAGAAACAATGCACACCAAGGGAAGTCTGATAAGACCATTTGAAATCCCACTAACAATAGGTAAGGCCGATTATTCCCCATAAATGTAGCATTCAGATCTTTAGGATGAATGGAACTTTTTTGCCTAACTTGTTTCTTTTTCTTATTCGCACACTCGCACCAGTTTTTGGGTTCCCAGATGTCATCCATATAATTATATCAATATGGCCTTACCTAGATGTCTAACCTTCATTGACGTATTTTAGATATATCAAGGATCCTAGCTAAGTATGTGTTAAAAAGGGTCAATTCAATTCAAGGATATTATATTGCTGCGTTTATGGCTCATTTGTTCCGATCGATGAATTACGTCACATGTGCGTAACATTGCTGAAACGTTAGTCGATGTTGAGCCCCTGTCACACATTCACGTATTTGGCCTCCTGAACGCTAGCCGAACGCCCGAAAACCATGGTTAGGAGTGGATCGGCAGGCATTCGGCTGGCCAATTGGTTCGGTAAATTTGGTCCCAGTTCGGCTGCGCCAGCCGAATGTTTCTAAATGTTTAAAACATTCGTGGGGCTGCGGGAGGTTCGATCACAGTTGGCTGGTTTTCGACCGCAAGTCAGCAAAATTTCCTGAGTAAGTCAGTGGTGTTCGGATCGTGTTCAGGGATCAAATTTGACTCCAATTTAACCCAAATTCGTTTTGAGTCAAATGCAAAAGGTAGGCGTGGCCTAAATCTACTACTACTACTAGTACTAGTAGTCAGAGTGCTCCCGATTCCGAACACCAGCTGACTCTTCGGCTGGTGTTCGGGAACAAATTCGTGGGGAGTTCGTGAAAAGTGAAGTTAAGTGAATGTATGAAAGGGGCTTTGGCGAGTGATTGACATCGCTTTTCATAGATTTAGATTTCCCCCTTCCTTAGAATTTTGATCCAGCACGCCCAACGATAGTATGTACAACAGAAGATGCACCGGAAAGAAGGAAAGAATACAGCAAAGTCATAGGAGCTACACCTCTGAACGGCGAGAGAAATGGAGACAGAAGTCATCACGGACAAACAGACAATTCCACCAGACCAGCCATGTTTCCAGGTGTCATGGTGGACACGAAGTGAGTCATGCATGTGTTTCTAATGATATGATATGATATGATATGATATGATATGATATGATATGAATCTTTATTGCATGTTCTTGCCCAGATGGGCTAAATGCACAAGAGGATATGCAGTATGCAAAACTTGAGTATTGCATACTGGGACGCTATATTCTAATGCTAATTTCTAGGAGTTTATACATTATAACAATCATGACAATACTATATACTACCTATCATCTGTTAGTTGCCCTTTCTTCTCTCTTTTTGAAACATTTGGAAACATAATTACATAGTTTGTCTGCTAATATTCGTTCTTTGCATGACATCAAGTGTTTAAATATGTCCTGCTTTGACATTTTCTTGCATATCTTGTCTAAATGTAAAATATCGAGTAGTTCTTGGCGTTCATCTTTATATAAATGTAAAATGTTAATTTAATAACATTTACGAACACCGTGATGTAGATATCGTGGTAGATAACCCTCATTGCTGTGCACTCTACTGTTGATCGAAAGACTATATATATAAACTACGCAAATCGGGATGAAGTTTCCTTTACAAAATGACTGTGTAAGTACTGAATAGGTATATAATACATCAAAGACATCCATGTATGTGTAAAAAGAGTCTCTTTACTCAGTGTCTTACCAGCCTGATGAAACTATTCACGGATACATCAAAGAATTTTTAGAACTGTATAATGTAATTGTCATGTTGATTTATCAATATATCTGTATCCTAACGAAATACACTTTTGCTTTTCAAACAAAAATTCATGAGGGTGGAGTATCATATTTGGGATTTTATTTTTTACACAACCAGTTAAGTCTTTTTAGTACCCGCTTAGCCATGTTTGGGATTGAGTTCCCGCCACAAAAGGGCCACCTATATCGCTATACTAGTATATAGCAGCAACAAGCAGTACCCCAGTTAGAAGCCTGATAGTAAGTTGCCCGATAGACATAGAAACGTATTCTAAGCACTTATATATATTAGACGAGAGTCTTTAGTGCTTATGTACAAAGAAACTCCATTGCCTTCCCTGTATATTTGTATGTATTGTCAATAAAGATTCTTATGACTTTCCCCACAGTTATCGCCATACAACAGTGTGCTTTGGAGACAAGGTGAAAGTACTGGGACGAGTCATAGACGGACTGAAGGATGGTACGTATTAGATAATCACTAAGTGTTGCCAACGTTGCATTCAATATATACCTACTGTTAGTTGCACGACTTGTTGTACTTCTATCTTATTTTATTACATTTAAAAACCATCTTAATATAACCAAGCAAGAAATGTTTTGCAAGTTATGCAAGTCATGTATTGCTCGGTATCCAGAGCACTTCAGCAGAACGTACTGCGCTTGGCGAAACCCGTAATGTACTAATTGTGCATAGCACAACTGGTCTTACTTCTCGTATTTGTGTATTTGTAACATCCAGTCTGTAGTTTGTTTTTTTTTTTAAATTAAAAGACAACAGGCGAAATTCTGATGCCACTATGACCAAGCATTGAGAAATCCGAGTTTCACTCAGGTACAATACGTCCTGCGAAAATGCTGGTAAGGCCATGTTGATTTGATTATATGGATGACATCCTCCGGGAGCCCCAAAACTGATGCACGCGTGCGAATAAAAAAAAAAGTTTTGCAAAAAAAAAGTTATTTTCATTATGAAATCTATGTGGTCATGAGGGTTGAGCAAATGGCACAGAATATGGTTTGGCGAATAATCTAGTCTTCAAGTTCATTTCTTTACAATTTCGTCTTTTTTCGTTTGATTTTGGCATTCTACGACATCGGTATAGTTTTTATCATTTTTTTTGTAACTTATGGTATATTTTTGCTCATTTTGCAACTGATTTGTACGATTTACAGTAGGTTGAAAACTTTTTTTTTTTGGAAACGGCCGAAAATTCATGCGCGCGCGGATGTCATCCATATAATCAAATCAACATGGCCTAATCACGTGCACTCGTATTCTAGATAGCTCCGATTTGCACTACCAACTTTTCCCTTGCCAAAACTGTCAACAGAAAAACGTTCAGTGGGGCAAATCTGAGCTAGAATAGAATGATTACAAAGCCAAGCCTTAAAAGTTTAGCATTTACGATTAATCTAACTACTATAAAACTAAATAAAAGGATCATCAATCAGAAAAAAAAATGTAATAAAATATTGCATGGACTGGTGAAGGGAATGGGCTGCTATTGCATGGATCATGTTTGTCTGTGACAACCTATAACATCTGCCTTTTCTTGACTTGTATTGGTTTATATTTCTTGACAAAAATCGTAGATTTGAATGTACAACAAACCGGATTCGTGGTGTGGCCGGCTGCTATGGTAGGTGTCATGACTCGGGCATCCATATAATGTCAAACTTACAATGGGGTTCATAATGGGGAAATGTTGCACACTTGGGAAGACAGGGGTCTCCCCAGAAATTATTTGAGGATAGGTGTTCTCTAATCGATTGATGAAAAATCAGCGGCTTTTCATGAAAATACTAACAGTTATTTAAAAAATCCCTAAACCTTGCTTCATTGAATAAGGAGAGCCCTGGAAGACTACGTAGACTGTATGGTCTATCTGGATAGCGCAGAATAGCGCTAATAATTTTCGCGCGGCAGAAAAAGGCACTGTGTATGTAAACGTTCACCATCATCTCTTGGAAAAGTCAAACGTCAGTCAGATCACCTAGCTCAATGCTTATGCCGAGGTCACATTTCCAAACCAGGGCCCGGTCGGTGAGTCGTATAGAACGAAAAATATTGTATAAAAATCACAAAAAGGTTGAAAAACATTAATAATTGAACTTTATTTGCGTATATATTCTTGATAAAATTTGTTGATTTTCCGTTAATCGGAACAGCCCGGCTGGACCCCGGCTTGGAAATGTGACCTCAGCATTAGATGTGGTCATAAACGGCATTGAGCAGCACTTAAAAAAAAGGAATTGACCAAGTACCAAGTGATGAACTGAGAGGTCCTGTACGTTCTGCAGATTCTGTCTCAGCACCTGGTGTCGCACCGTGAGCTGGTCCGTACCGGGCGGGTGTTGGAGGTGGGTGCCGGGGCGGGCCTCCCGGGCCTGGTGGCCGCCGCCCTGTCCCAGGATCCGAGCGGGGTCGTCATGACAGACTACGTGGAGGAAGCCGTGGATCTGATGGACATGAACATCGCGGAAACCTTCGCAAATGATAACAGTGAGTAATGTATAGTGTCTACCAGACTCCCCATGTTGCTTGCCTAGGGTAGGCTCCAAGCGCAACCTAGGGTTAGTTTGGAGGGTAAAGATCATCCGAGCCTCCTGTGCAAGCCTCCGGGCGGGTGAGAGTTTTCATACTGCGTTTTGTAGAACTTTTAACGTGTTCTTTTGACGACCATCTTACAACCAGCTGCCCAGAGAAGGTTTGTACCAGCTCCGGCTCTAGTCGGCTGGTTGTAGGATGATCGGCAAAAGAACGCGTTAAATATTCTACAAAACGCAATATCAAAACCTCCACATGCCCAGAAGCCTTCACAGGAGGCTACTACAGTCCAGGGTAGGTTGAAAACCGACCCGTCTAGCCAGCTCCTGGACAGTTGCATAATATTTAGCTCTTTGGCCAATGAGCCTAGTGGAGGCTAAGCTTTGTACAGAGAATCATAACGGATCGATAACTTATGGTGGCTTTCCCTTAGTTTAGAAGGCCTAACTATAAATCTCATATATAGATGGAACATATTGTGACTGTTTCTTGTTGCTTTGATATGTTAAGAATACACAGGTTGCACCACAACCGAAAAATCTGTGTGTCATATTGACTCCTATGTTATTTATTTTAAAGTTCTCGTGTTTGGTATGATTTTACGATGACAATACTGGCGATGGTACCTTTAGCTTCTTTTGTTATCTGTCATATACATTCGCAGAACCCTTGTCAACGTCTATTTTGTTGATCCGTCGTTTAAGACATATTTAGTAGTTAAAAACTGTATCACTTTCTTGTGGGATTGACCTTGACAGATCGCCCGAAGGCCGCCATTATGGACTGGGACGATGACCCATCAGTTCTCCAAGAGCATCATGGGACGTTTGACGTCATCATCGGTTCTGACGTCGTCTATTGGCCAGAGTTGATCGAACCGTTGATTCGCACAGTGAAGGCTCTCTTATCAAATAAAGTAAGACCTTAATTAAAGTTTGTTGAACTTACTCTCCAGAAAAATTTTGTAAAGTTATTAAATCAAAATTGATAAGGTCCCTATATATGTGGTGTTTAATACGGCGCCTATCTCTGTTTCCTTAGCCCTTGGGCCACATAGATAACTAGCACTGCGCTAGCACAGGTATTATAACGGCGGGATAACCCTCTGCTGTAGTGTTGTGTCTTCAGCTCTCTTGCTCTTTCCCTTTTGTACAAATTGCTAAGTAGAAAAGCAACATGTACCGGTTTTTAAGTCTTTGGTATGAATACAATCGGCCTAAAATACAAGCTCTCTTCAATTATTACCTAACATTGCTACGGTTTGATTTGATTTGATCTATTAAACTGTATTCACTTACAATTTCCTCCTTTATTTCTCCAGTTTTCAATTTGCTCCATAAATCAGTATAGTATTTTTTCTCTTTTTGTCATTTGGTACGAGTTTTTGTAGCATTTAATCTTTATTTTGTTCCACACTTAGCCTCAAAACAATGTTTCTTCTTAACCACTACTTGAACTAATTACTCGTGTTTTTGTTTTTTCTGTAGCGGACATCCAGGTTCTTGATGCTGTACAGCAGGAGGAACCCAAAGGCGGACGTGCTGCTTCCTCGGACAGCACAGAAGTACCGTTTGGACAGCACGGAGCTGTCTTTAGAACAGAACACAGTGTACCAAGCCGTGCTGAAGCACCCAGTATACATAGAAGACGTAGACATGTTTCATCTATACGAGTTTAGACACAGCCATGAATAATTTTGTGCATTTAAAAATTACAAAAAAAAGAAGAAAAGATTGTGTTTCCCTTACAACTACGTTAATTTAATTACATTTTAAGCATTGGGCATTTAATGAAACTAAACTCAAGATGATACCAAAGGTACATGAATGGCTTTCAGACTTTGTATTGTTTGGAAGTTGCTCGAGAGCTGAAACTTTGTACAGGTTTAGGCATTGGTCCGTTTGTATTTTTTGATTCATTAAAGACTTTGACATGTCAGTTATAGTGCCTTTTGCTGTTATTTCTGTTGTTGACAAGAACATCTAAATGGCTACAAAATATTTACTGGGTTTAACTTAGCAAACAATGGGTATTGAGCGCAAAGAAATCTATTTGAAGGGGTTGTTGGCCAAGCACCAATGTTATCATTTTGCAAATGAAAGCCAAGTAGAGTGTTTGACCGTGGGTACTATTTAAGGGTTAATGACCCGCCCCGAGGTGAATATGGTGTAATAAAGCCTTGTCAGCTACTATAACCACAGAATAAAGCCACCAAGTGAGCGCAACGAACGAGGGCGGGACATTAACGCTATTATCATATAGCTTACACGATAGCCTATCCAAACTGATGCAGTAAGTGACACAATGCACATGCTGAATAGAACATAGAACATAGTTCCATCTGGAGTCACCTGAGGTCACTGGGTAGAGTTCACGTTAACTGGGTCACAGGCAGGGAACAGGTGTTCTTATGGGAGTCGCCCGAGGTCATTGGAACACAACTTAACCCTTGTCCTGCTGGCATTCCTGGCACAATATTTTTCAATAATTTCATGTCTTAATTAGATCATAGACCCCCAAATTTTTTTGCCCTGCAGTGGCATAGTTACTTCCGCATTCGTTGCGTTTCGCTGAGGTGTGATGCGTTGCACGAGAAACACCCCCAAATCGTACCTATACAGGGTGTTGTATACTTTACTTTATGTCCTACCTGGGCCGCGATTACGTTCGATACGGGTGTTCCGGCCCGTGTGATAACTAGCGGTACGGCCCGGGGGTTCTTTACGCGTACGGCCCGGGCCTTCCAAATGTTCCATAGAACGATTCGAACGCGTTTCGCCCTAACCGCGTGCACCGATTTCGAAATTCGAATACAAAATTCGGACGTTGGAATTAATGTTGTCGCATTTTTTGGGTTTAGGGACACCAAATTTCGCTCATTTCGCAATGAAAGGCGTGTTTTCGTGGGTGGGTATGACATAAATAAAATACAACACGGTGTATTCCGCATCGCCCTCGGTCCCAGCCCTCCCGCGGATCGGATCTCCCTCCGGCCTTCGGGCGATCCGACGCGCGGTCGGGCTGGTACCTCGGGCGATACGGAATACCCCGTGTTGTATTCTATATTTATGTGCCGCGCGACATATGTTGCGCACAGCAGGACAAGGGTTTTTAGAACTAGAGCCCTGTTCTATTGGGTCACCTGAGGTCATATGCGGGTGATTATTTGGGTTGTTTAATGTATGGATTGGGATGAATAAATACCCGGTTTTGACTCTATTTGTGACATTACGGCGTCATAAGGAATGTGGAATGGAGCCTTCACATTGGTCAACGTCACCTGGCTATATGATAATGTTGGGTATTTGCACTTCACAGACATTCGCTCTCAATGTACAACAACAACTGAACCCCTCAAACAGGTATTCTGGTTCTTCCTGTCAGCACGCACGGGTCACTGCACGCTTGCATATTAATTTCAAGTGCAAGGCATACCTTGATGTAAATAGAGTCAATGAGCCATATTCTTTCTCAACGATTTATTCACCATTTATCAAAGATACACACACAGTCTTCCAATACGTCATTATGAGATCGTTGTAAACCCAAAATCCCTTTCAATGTAAGATCGGATCATCAGATACTAGATTAAGACCGCTTTTGAAATGTTCTCCATTGGATTTAAAGCAAAATGAAAAAAAAAAGGATGTTGTGTTGCAGTACCTTAGGAAGCCTTGTATATCATTGTATATTGTACCAAGGCCCCGAGTTGTAATTTTCAGAGCGAGTCCTTTATTTGACAAAATCTACATCTATCAATTCTGAATTGGTCTCGAGGAATATTTATTTACATGTACAAAAAAAAAAATAAATCATAGAAATGCATCAGCACGTCTTTGTGCGTTTGAGTAATATCAAAGATAAAGCTGCCCAGAGAAGGTTTGTACCCGCCGTGCAGTATCAAAACTCCCACCCGCCCGGAAGCCTGCAAAGCAGGCTAGATAGATCTTTATACAGTATGCTAACGTGGTCCGAAGGCTAGAATACCATAAAGGTAACTTTGATGTTCCAAGTATCAAGATGTAAACATGTAATTTGTCGCTTTGTAAAAACTAAAAACCTACTAGCTGTAAACCTCCTGGCATAAGTTTGTGTCGACCACTTTCACACAAAGAGAATTATAACTAGTGTAATGTTTGTTGCTAATTATTGCTTTGGGAGGGGTTCCTTCGTAGGAGCGACAGCACCCCGCATTGAGAGATTGCTTGGGCCTTTTGCTTGAAAACCTCTGAATAGAGCTGAATTAAGAGCTGAATGGAGGTTCCTAGAAGGATGGGCCGTTCTATCCTGTCTGTGACATTAAGGATAACAAAAGAAGCAAAGGAAAGGTACAAATCTAGGTGTGTGCAGATAAAATTATAAGTGTGTGCAGAGGTACCAACTACTTGACTAAATGTAAGAGGCGTGGGCGCATATAGATACGTGTATGCGACGTAAGCCGTGGGGACAATTTTCAGATAGACTAAGTATTTTTTCAAGTCGTGATGACAAGTTAAAGAAAGAGCTAAAAATACGGTACGATTCTATTACTTGCAATTATATGTTACAATATTTTAATATTTTTCAGAGTGTACGATCAAATACATAAATAATTCACAATTTTGTGCAGGTCTAACAAATACATATTAAGTTATACATTTCCTGGTCAGCAAAGTCGATTCCCACCAACGTTTCCTCCATAGTATCGATATAACAGTCATAGGTACCGGTAGGTTTTGTCCAGGATGATTCCAGAACATTCCTGAACACCCGCACAGGTGTGTCTGTATGACATGATGATGCAAGTCTCCCATGCCAGCTAGCGACGTACGTAATATACGGACCATTGCAATTGAATATGTCTGGCAGTGACCTTGTCGGACGCAGCGACGGCACACCTAGAAAAATTTACATCAGAAAGAGAATTTTGCCAAACCCAACCAGATAGATTTGTCTTCAGGGCATATTCTCCGCCTGTTTTGATCGCATTTTTTCTCGTCTGTGGTGAAAAGGTGACGCTCCCGACCAAGTACAACCAGTTCAGTTGGAGAGGCACCCCTGTTAGGACGTCGAGTTTATCCGACAGTCCAGGTGCCCAGAGGACTCAAAACAACCGTAAGAGACAAGAAGCCTTTATTGTATATCAAGGTGAGACTATTAGTATTGTTTGTTAAAACTTTGCAGTGCCGTAGCTCACTTTATTATCGGGTGGTTAACTGCATGCAGCGCAGGTACCGGCAATAGGCCGTGACGGGTCCGTCGTCGTCTTCCACTAGCCGCACATCCCGCCGATATTTTCAAGGCACGTACCATAGCTTAGCAACAGGCTGGGTCTAGTCAGTGGCCACCCTTATGCCACACATACAACCATTGATTTGCTTAGCCTCCTTCGCAGTCTTGTTGGGCGTCGGCGTTATTTTTTCTCTGAACGACCGAGCGCAAAACCTTCTCTCCGTGGCAAATACCCCCTCGGCAGCAAATCGTCCCTCGCAGCCGCATATTACTCGCGTCGCTCAGAGAAAAAGACTGCGAAGGAGGCTATGATTTGCTCACCACACCGTCAACAAGCTGGGTCATGTCAGTCGTTATGGTCTTTCCGAAGAATCCATCGTTGATTTTTAACCGCTGGGTCGAGTCGATAGTCATTATTTTCTCTAAAATGTACTTATGACGTCTTAACCATGTCGACAACAGGTCACTTTGAGTCCTGACCGTTTTCTCCTAAAAGCTGATTTCTTAACGTAGCAGGTAAAACTATTGAACTGTTTGATTGCGAGTGATGAAGCATGAACTTATTAATTCATCTATAGTGCTGAATAGAGGTTTCTAGAAGTAATTAAGGTTCCTGGAAGAGCCGCGCCATCCTTGACATTAATGTGAACAAAAGTAGCAGAGTTACAATAGGTGTTTACCTGTGTACGTGACTAAAGCCGGGTGGCTTTCGGGGAATTCGCCTTCGGCTACGGTTCGGCGAATTCAGGTACGGCTTAGCTGGGCCAGCCGAATGTTGGAGAATGTTAAGAAGAGTCGTAAGTATCGGGGGGTGGGGGTCTGGTTGGCTGGTGTTCCGCCGGTGTTTGGGAGTGCGTCAGCCGTGTTCGTCGCCTTTTTTGGGGGTGGGGGGTTACGACAGATGTATGGAAACCTATAGAGGAATCACTCCTAGCCCTCTGTCGAAAGCTTGTGGTGATCACAGAGATTAACCGACCACCAACCGAACATCAGTTGAACACCAGCTGACCCCCAGCCTACCCCACGACTATTTAGGGAACATCTCCCAACCTCAGTAGACCAGGTTCTGGAAAATACTTATAAATATAGACTGATAAATCTTCCTAGCATGAATAAAGTGTCGAAAAGATATGTGGCACTATGCCAAAGGTAAAAAGAAGCCAAAGGTAAAACGGTTAAAATTTAAACGTAAGTAGGGGACCCCAGATTTTGCAAATTTCCATCCGGGACAGAGTTGGAAATGGTTAGGATGTTGTCGTCAGACTTCGGCTAGTCGTTGGATGGTTTTAGTAAGGTTGGCAACCATTCTAGGCTGGTTCGGAAAACGGTTTTAAAATGATTAGGACATGGTCAGTGCGAAAGATAAGCGTGGCCTAAATCTGGTCAGACCGGTCCCAAGCACCAACAGACCTGTTCGGCTTGGGTTCGGCTGGTGTTCGGGAACGAATTCGAGAGAGAACCGTGAATGTGTCACATGGGCGCCCGGGCACAACTTAGA